TTTAAAGGTGGCATTTTTATAAGAAGAGAACCAAGCTCTTGCCCTGGCTGTGTGACTGTGGTAGGTTATCTACCCTTTATGGGCTTCAGTTTTCTCATGAAGAGGATGAACTGGTCTGCTGATCTCTCTTCCAGCTGTAACATTCATGTTTGTGTGATATCTCTGTTGGGTGTGACGGACATATTCTGTATGCAGCTGCTGGTTGTTATGTGTTTGCTGAAGGAATCATAAATGCACTTTTATATTTTGAGAACAGATACCGAGATCAAACACAGCCCAGCCCACAGTCAACAGCACTTGGCTATCTATGCCACTGCTTCTGCTACTAGGATTTGGAAAAATAACTAAAATATGTGTGCCAGCACTCTCTAGGTACTTCTTTTAAATATTAAAAATAAACTGCAGCAAACATTTTTACCTGGTTTGTACAGTTGAAAATTGCTGATCTTTTTGCTCTATAAGGACCTAATTTATTTATTATCTAAATCAGGGCAAGCCAATTTTCCATGAGAAAATGTCCCTGGAAACGAAAGATTACATTTAAGTGCAGAAGTTATCTCCATAGGAAATATTTTCAACAGAAGATATTAAAAGAAGCTATTCCACACTCTCTTGCTTTCTTAACCAGGACACTTTACCTCTTCTCGATGACCTATAATGTCACCAATATGCCGAAGTTATTATACTGTGTTAGGCTAGATTCTAGTCCCTAGATTGGTGACACTCAAAGGGCCACTGGACGACCTAGGTCTACCTGGCCCTCCCCTGAATGTGCACACGCTGCTCTGATGAACAGCCCAAGAGTAAGCAGAAGACCCTTTTCACCTTCTCACTTCTCTTCCCTCTTGCCACCTGTTTTATCTCATGATTGCCTAGGAATCAAGTGGGCTCTAATCTGCTCCTTTAAGTACACGGTTTGAGGATGGCTTCATCCTTTGAATTAAGGTAAACTATGGGTTCTGTGACATCCATTTTTTTTCCAATCAGAAACTATTTCCATGTATTTCCAGACGCATGGCTCTGTTCCATATGGTGGTGTTGCCAGGAATCGGACTGTAGACACGTGAAAATTTCCCCTACTCCCCTAGCAAATCTTCAAATGAGATGCCATATGTAAAGGGGTTCTAAAAATTAGAAAGCTGCACAGAACAATAATCATGAGTACTTCTCCGACTTCTATGATTTCAGCCTTAAGAGAAAAAAATGTTCAAACTGACTTCCCCAAAACTTCACTCGTAGTTGATAAAATGATCACTGCATATACTTGAATTTTCGCCCCATAAGAACACATAAGACATGTAAATTTATACTGTGGAAGCTGTGTGTATGTAGATGCATACCCTAATGCTTGAGGCGCTTAACCCATCTGAATATTCTAAAATATTAAATACAAGGGCTGCCATAAAATACTCTAAACCTTTCACATGTCACTTGAATTTTCACAAGAATGGCAGGCTCTTCTCATGTAAAATTTAATATATTCGATAGGATCATTTGAGTTTTATAAGCCATAAAGCAAATGATACAATCCTTTCTTTTTCCATGGTCTTCCAACAAATATTAACCCTCACATCCAGACTTAGGGAGAGAAAGGCCGCCTCGGTGCAAGTGTTTCTGCACAATGGGGGAAGTGGCTTTGCTTACGGCCTACAAACGTGGCCAGCTGGTAGATTCCTTCAGACAGAAAACAGAAACCTGCCTCTGTCCTGCTCCCAACGAGGGGGCTGTGAGGTGGATAACACTAAATGCAATCAGTTAGCAAGACACCATCCTAAGAGCAACTATCCACAATCCAAAATGTGTATCATTAAAAACAAACAAAGGAAAATTGGGTATAGGTGGCCCTTAAGCAACACGGGTTTGAACTGTGCAGATCCTTGTGCATGCAACATTTTTTCAATAACCACATTACTGTAAATGTATTTTCTTCTTTTTAAAAACAATTTTTTTAATGTTTTATTTATTTCTGAGGGAGAGAGAGAAAGAGACAGCGTGAGCAGGGGAGGGTCAGAGAGAGAGGGAGATACAGAATCTGAAGCAGCCTCCAGGCTCTCAGCTAGCTGTCAGCACAGAGCCCGACGCGGGGCTCAAACCCACGAACCGTGAGATCATGACCTGAGCCGAAGTCGGACACCCAACCAACTGAGCCACCCAGGTACCCCTGTAAATGTATTTTCCTTCCAAGTTTCTTAATAATAGTTTCCTTTTTCTATTACTTTACTCTAGGTATGCACAATATGATACATATAACATACAAAATATGCATTAACTGACAGTGTATGTGGCTGATAAGACTTCTGGTCCGGGAGTCAGTAGTTATACCCTGATTCTGGATTGTGTGTGGGTCAGCACCCCTCACCCCCATATTGCTCAAGGGTCAGCTATATTTCTTTGCTTCTCTAACATCCTATGTCACAAGAGAGCAAACGCCACAAGAAACTAAAGTTGCTACAATGTATTAATATCACTGAGAATTTTATATATATATCCACATTATGTCTAATTCTAAAAGCAATTACAATTAGATGGAGATGGCAGGGTTTTCACGGCTTATTAACCTTTAGAGCTCTGGAATCTGTTTCCTAAGAAGAATTTCCCAAGTCCTGGGACTTGCTTCCCTAACCCAGGCTTTTTACAAAGAATGTCCCTAGGAGGCTACCGTTTTGTTGAGAATTTGTTGGGATTCTTTGCAGGTTAAATCCAGCTGTCTTAAGTGCAATTTATCAAGTGTTTGTTCACCTGTAAATTGAAATATATGTTAGTTTTGAATTAAACCTTTTTTTTGTCTTTTCTTTGGTCTCGATCTCACCATCAGCTGCACTGTGCATGATGCAGGAGTACAGAGAACACACCAGAAGGTAGAGGCTGTACACGGTGTCACTAACAGGTGCACAAAATAGTTACAACCCAAGACAGTAACAACTTATTACAATTCACACAAACTCCATCTCCATATAAGGGGACTGTTCCATGATTTATTTTATTGTATTTTCTGAGCCCTTTAAATATATTTCACAGACAATACCTCAAAAAACCAGAAATCAGCAATTTAAAAAATACGGTGGAGAAACTGCAAATTAAAAAGCTAAAAACCTTGAGATAACCTTTATTTAATGGCCCATCTTGAACTGACTCTTCAGTCTGGGACACTGGCACTGGAAATTATGATTGCGTTCAACTACTTAACAAGCATCTTTACCTCCAGCCTGCTCGCATTAAATGTCTTACCCAAAATTTAAAAAGTTATATCTAGAAAAAAAAATCTAAAAGTTTCATTGTTCTGCTCCAAATTTTTACACAGCTTCCAATACGTTATGCACAAAGAACAAACTTACTAGCTTCGGATACAACCAAGTCCCCTAACCCAAAGTATGTTTTAAATCTCCTTTCCTGCTGAGCCGATCTTCTTCTCAGCTCTGCCCCTGCGATGTGAGCCTCCCCAGAACACACAGTACTTACCAATGACGTCCTGGACTGTACCCCCCTGTTTACCCACGTCCTTCTCAAACAGTACTTTCCCTAGATCATTTCTCAATCCTCCTCAGGGTTTGCTTAAAATTCCTCTGTATCTCAATAGTTCCTGGATCAAAGCTTTACTTCAGCACTTTGCAGACTGCATTACTTAAGAAAAATGTTTCATGTGCCTTCCCTTTTAATTTCTTAATTCCTCAAAGTTGGAGACTATGGCTTCTCTGGGTACAGAGGGTCTAGCAGGCAGTAGAGACGCAATCAGTGCCTGCTGACTAAACAAAGGACGGACTACCGTATGATACACTGTTTCTCTGGCAGTGACTTGGAGCTAATGCTTCTGACTAAGCTAGTATGGATGTGGAGGGGATCCAGCCAACCATCCCAGATCAAAAAAAGGAGTAAAGTGAGGCAGATCATCTGACTACCAGTGTCCAGCCCTCCTTTCTCCTACCTAACTCTGCATGCTCAACTGAAAAGAAAAAGCATGAGGCACCTGGGTGGCTCAGTTGGTTGAGTGTCCGACTTTGGCTTCGGTCATGATCTCACGGTTCATGAGTTCAAGCCCCACGTCGGGCTCTGTGCTGACAGCTCAGAGCCTGGAGCCTGCTTCAGATTCTGTGTCTCCCTCTCTCTGCTCCTTCCCTGATCATGCTCTATTTCTCTCTGTCTCTCAAAAGTAAACATTGAAAAAATTTTAAAAAAATTTTAAAGAAAAATTATAACTAGTATTATGGCTGAGCTATACTGGTAAAAAGGGAGAGATTTTTCATTTTATTTACTCTAAACTGTGATATAAGCCACATGAGACTAGAAGGCCCTTGGCTATGTAACAGTATTATGAACTTGTGCAAATCATTTAGCCTCTGTGGGGCTGAAATGAAAAACAGAGCTATGAAGGCGCTGATTGTCACAGGGCTGAGGCGCCAGACTAGATGGAGGTATTTCTTCAATTCTATGATCTATGATCCCTTTTATCCATCCACCCACCCACCCACCCACCCATCCATCCATTCATCCATCCATGAATCCTGGAGATCTCTCCCAGCTCTAATATCTACAATTCTTCATCTATGGAAGCTGGATTCCAAGAAAATGTAACAACTCCTAAACATTTTCCCAGAACTCATGTTATGTCAAAAAGAATGACTGACGGAGGTGCAAGACAGCACTCGAGGAACTCACTCACCAACACTGAAACAGGTTTCTCCAGGGAGTGTCTGCTTGGGTTCACTTCTTATGTTTTGGGTTTGGTTTCATTGGCTGAATAGGTTGGGAGGTCACATTTAACTTGGAAAGAGGCCCAAGAGGCCAAAATTAAAGAAGTAATTTTACAAGATTTGGAACACAGACGAGGTGAATGAAACTCTACCAAATCGTATTCGAGAACGGCCCACGTGTAAAAAGCAGGCCGACAAGAGTCGCATTCGTGCACACCGAGGTACCTGCTCTATTTGTTCAGAACGGAAAGGAGACAGAACCCCTAAAGAGATCTGTGGCTTGGACAGGCAAGTGGGAATCCCGGAGTCTACCTTTGTTTCTGCTGCATGGGCTGCTGCCTCATAGCCATGTACTGCATGTCTTCCTGCAGACGATTCAGAGGGGAATCTGGCTTGACGCGGATCCCATAGTAATGGTATTTGGAGTTTCCTCTTCATAAAAGAACAACAAACATTAGAGACACAAGAAGTCAGTCAAACCAATACTCATCAGACACGATGTCCGTTTAACTTCACATTTGGAACGATTCAGTAAAAGCAGCATATTCGTGTTACGGATTTATGATCTGCCTGTTCTGGATTACCTGTACGTTTTTATGGTGGCTACATCGGAAGAATCAAAATAAGATTCCGAATCCATCGGCGGCAGGGCCCTGCGAAAAATCTTTCCTTATAAACTGAAATATTAGTACAACAGGCCACTTACTGCATTTAAGTTACACTGTGATTTTCAAATTTACATTCTAGATTTAATTTAGAAGGGGTAAAGGTGGGAAACACACTTGGCCAATAAAAATTCATTAACAGGATAAAGGGCTATACACTAGATGAGAATTGATTATAAACTGGTTATAGAAAACGAAGAAAAGAAATCTAATTCTACTGTCTTGGGTAAGTTCTACATTCTTACAATGTCTATTACTGCAGGGACAGGGAAGGTAACTTCCCAGATATGGCATGTGGAGGGAAAGTCTATCATGTATTATTCTGAAACCTAAAAGGAAGCAAGCGTTTAACCCATTGATTGTGAAACATATTTTATTAGTCTCTGTTTTAATGAATTCATATCAGTTTTGCAGGCTGAATAACATGTGTCACAACAGACATGGGGAAGTTTCTCTGTGAAAATGGCAAATTTCCACCTGGATAAAAATTGTCACAATTTCCCCATCTTCTTGAGAAAGACCATGTTTGTTATTAGAGATGACAAAGTTTTGCTCTGAATGAAATTTGCAAATTCTTGCAAAAATAACATGTTAAATATGTAAATTTTTGCAAAGGCAAAATAGTTTTCCACAGGTCTATATATAGCAAGACATCAGCTGCGTTTTCCATTTTTTTCTTTCATTTACAAAAAAGAAATGCAAGAAGAGCATGGATTAAATATTTTATATAAAAATAGAACAGAGTTCGACTTCCAAGATTAAAGAACATAGATCAGATGAAGTCTACATATTCAAAGACATTACAATCTTATTATATAAATAATATTGCTAGTTTTAAAAAAAAAGTGGGGCATCTGAATATCTATATAGTTTTGGCAAAGTAGAATAGTACGGAAACTTAAATGCATTCCACTTTCAGAGACAGATCTTGTCTCCAAAAGTCACCGCAAAATAGAGCAAAAAAATGAAAACAAAAAACTCAATTAGTAGCATTCTCCCTTACAAACAGGAGTAGGGTAAGTAGTAAAGTGGGGGGAGGGGGGAAGCAGGCGACAGTCCCCAGGGGATGTAACCAATGACAGCTACGGAGTAAAATGGGGTCTCCCTTGTAGACCGAGATAGATGAAGTGTCTAGTTTCTTCTCTTTTTCCAACAAATCAGCATTTTTGTTGGGCTGGTGGGGAGATGGCTGGGGCGGGGGGGAGGGGTGAGGATCAGCATGTCCCAAGGTCTTCTTTGCTTAAACTTCATTTGCAGGTGGATTTGAACAAAAGACACCTTTTGATTTGCCTTTGCTTAGAAACACAGTGATTTTATTTATTTATTTATTTATTTATTTATTTTTACCTAGCTCTAAAACCTTGAGGAAAGGTCCAGTTCTGCCTCATGGTTTATACGGATTTTCTTTCTGTTCCCTGGGTTAGGAAGAGTAAATGAACGCTAAACCAGGTCCCATGGCAGAACGAATCCCTTGGGGCTTTACTCTCAACACCATCAGTGCTTCTACACTGTTCTGTTCTGCTGTCTTCGTAACATGGCATTTGTTTAAACTTTCCCCACTGGATTTCTTTTCTCCTTATTCTTCTAAGGCTTTACTTTCCACCTCTCCTTGCAAACACTACATATAATTTTAAAAGGAACAGAAGACACAATTGTTACACAGTGAGGGGGCAAAAAAGAACATCAGAAAGCAAAAGCTGTGATATTGCGAAAAGTACTTATGGAGTATGGATTCCACTCATTCACAAACCCAAACAACCCCAATTTTGGTCCTTTCTATTTAAAAGATGTGTTTCAAGGTTTGAATGGAGCCTCAAAATAGGACCCATTGAAATCCCTTTCAACAACCAAAGGAGCACAACAATACTGCTATTAGAATGTTGAATAAAGCCCAGAGTCTCAAAATATTGGCATGGTATGCGGAACTACAGAGCCTGAGCCTTCGCTAGCGGATAGGAGGTTAGATCCCCAAATAATGATTTTTGTGGTTCTGAGAAAAGAAATGGGGAGAGAAACAAAGAGCTTTTTTCAAGGGACTGAAAGCTTTAGTTCCTTTAGCCTGAATAGACAATCATATTCTCCAGTTTAAAATATACTATCTTTTCAAGTATAGGTAGAAGAAAACATACTTATGAGCGAGCGGAACCTCCGGCAATCTGAAAGCTGTACAATCACTTGAAATGCAACAGAATGGAATAACTCGCGCTTAGGACACATAGAGACCTCATAAATGACACAAAACTGACACTCTCCCTTTCTCGTAGCGTAAGTTTACAAAGAAGTTAGTAAGGATCTCTTTATTCTATTAAAAATATTAAATAGTCTTAACTAGATACTATGAAGCTGTGACTTAAAACACATTATAGGAAGAACATCTAATGTTATATGGTGTGGAATCTTTATTTTTACACTTTTTATTATGGATTTTCTATAAGCGTTAGGAAATCAAAAACATCCATATCCCTCTGCCCTGCTTCTTAAAATATTCATGTTATGATAATTTGTAAAAGCTACAGAAACGCAAAAAAATGAAGCTCTACAGTTCCAACTATTATTTTCATCATATTTTGATTAGGAAGAACACTCCTATCTCTTTTCAAAGGAAGGAAACGAGGAACGAAGAGCCTTGTTTACGTTCCTGGCTTTCATGCTATGGAAGTACACTATCTTTTTACTTCTATACATGTATGGTTGCACACTCAAGCCTAAAAAAGGCTAATAAGAGGTTAAACAGAACTGTGTCATTACTGAGGGCTTCAAATACCCCAATTTTTCAAGTTCGACAAGTGATTTTTAATTGCTTTCCAAAAATGAAATGAAAAACTCAGCTTTAATTTCTTACTCTATTCAAAGAGAAGAGTTATTTATAAAGACATTTCAATATAATTTTGCAAGAGTCGAGAGATACATAGTTTTCCACTTCCTATGTCACTTACCACCTCTAGCAGGATTATTTTTAAAAAGAGAAAACAGTGATATACATTCATTTTTAAGGCACCATGTGTAAATCTTACATTAACAGTTTGGCTTGCTGATTTCTGTATCGTGGGAGAATCCACTCTTCTCAAAGCTGTGGTCAGCTGATGTGTAAGCCAGTGCATCATCCCAGTTTGGCAGTATTCACTGAATAATGACCTTTCCTTTTCTCAAGAGACTGTATAAACTGAGCCATTTCCTTATTTTTCTCTTTATATGTTATTTGTAATCAAGCCCTTTTGCTCCAACGACATCCTGAACTGCTTTGGTTCGAAAAACAGGGATTTATTTAGGATCTTATGTTTTCATACTAACCTAGTTCCCAATCTCCTGGTTCGTAGCCCCATAAAAATTGACCTTATTAGTTTTCCAAAAGAAGCAGCATTGACTGGGTCCAGTTTGTGTTCCTGACAGTGTCGTAGGTAGTGGTTATACAGCGTGCTTCTAGGAAGGCTCACTCCTTCTGCGGTCTCGTAATTGTCCAACAGCCACTGGAGCTAGTGTAAATAAGACAGGGTAAACACAGAGAAACCACATAATTTACCAAAGTATCTACAAGACCCTACAGATACAATGTACAGAAATACTTAGCTATTCATCAAACCTTGTCATCGGGCAAACTTGCAATTCAAAGGCTGGTGTGATCTGACCTTGACAACTCTCAGAAATGTGAATGGCTGAATGTAATTTACGAGCTAGGACCATGTCCATTCCTTCAAACAGTCAAGCACACGTACAAAGTACTATTTCTCCCTGTATTGATTGCAATTTTGTAGACAAACATCTCTTCGGGGAATTCAAATAACCCCTTAACCGGTCATATGTAAAATTTGTAATTGGCACAGAACAAGACATGTTCCCAAGCTTGGCAGCCTGGCACATAATACGTCTTTCATGTTGGTATGTTATGAACAGCGTGATGCCTTGCATGAGTTTTTGTATTACGTTTCTATCCACTTCCCTAGAATTTTAATTTATTTATCTAATTTACTCAAACAGGTCAATACAACAACACTATTATCTACTGGGTAAAATTCTGCAAGCAGAAAGGAAGAAAAAAAATTAAGTCATTTCTTCCCCAGAAGAAAAGAAACTGACTAGACATTGATTCTTTAAAAATTACATAGTAAAAGGAATCATTTACTACAGTCATTTGAGTTTTTCTACTCAGATGCTATGTTTTGTTTTCCATAATTTCAGAAGATACGCTATAATGGTAGTTGGTAAAGTAACATTTTCTCAGTCTATAGTTTAAATTTTATAGGTGTATGTTGTCCTATGTGTATTTCTTTAAAATACAGCAAGGACAAAAATATTTTAGAAAGCATAAACTAGGTATATATTATTAAATTTCAACATTAGGAAAGTTAAGTTATTAACTCGTTCATTTATTTATTTACAAAAAGAGAACTGAAAGAACACTTAAATGACTTTCTTAAGGTCACATATCATCTCAGGCAGTTTCTGATTACTTGCATACTAGTTGTTGTTTCCATAAAGCAACAAATACTTCACAGTACTTGTCTCAACAAAATTTCCATACCATATTTAAGAGATGTGATAAAGAAATGAAATTTTACATGCAATTTAAATTAAACAGAAGTTATAGAAGCCCAAGAATTTCTTTATTGTGCATCAACTATGAACCAGGCAACAGGCTAGGCACCTAGTGATGCAGAAATGAATGTGATATCACCCCATCCTCGGGAATTTATGATCATATTCCAAAAAAAGATAATATAGGCACTCAAATTATATTAAACCACTTGTCCATTTTGCTCACTTACTTTAAGATTTGTGAACAAACTCAGAACCTGGAACTTTAGACTCCTCGTATTAAAGACATTTTCAGAATTACTGCCTTTGACTATGACAACTGAATTGTCCAGAACCATTTTAATTTCAAATATTCCTACATGATGCTTATGTTTACTTAAAATTATGTCATTAAACTCATGCTGATGTTGGCTTAGAAAATATGGCCACCAAGCCTCCAAGACAGAGCAGAGCACTTTTAAAAATAAAGTTCATGTTCCGTCAGGGAGACTGAAGTTCTCTGCCAGCCACTTATGCATAATGAATATGTACATTTAAACATACCTGTTGTCTCTATAATGTATACAACCCTCCCTTTTCAAAAGGTTACACAAAATAAACGTTCATTTACATAATGACAAAAAATTAAAGGTCAAAAAGAATTCTTTAGAGATGAATCATCTGTAACCTAACTGTCCGCAAAGAAGTTTTCCAGAGGCAATGACTTCTAAGTATTCTAAATGGCACCCAGAATAAGTTCACTTACACATATTCACTTGATAAAAAAAAAAAAAAAAAAAGAGAGAGAAGGGGCAAAAAGCTTGGGAAATACAGGTACTAAAGCTCAGATTAGTAGTCTGCCTACAATGGTGGGTCAAGATGTCCCTAGCATTTCTTTTTAAATTTTAAGATTTTGTGGGTTATGAACACAATGGGGGTTGATGATGCACAAAATATGGCAATACAAACCCGCCTCATAGGTTTCTACCACGCCCCCTGGTAAGATGATGGGAATCTGAAAGCATTGTTACCTCACTTGACTGGTGTTGGTAGAAGGTCTAGGCAGCCATATTGCCCCAAAGTGCTAACTCTGGTTTTGTGTGCATATACTAGAGAGAGCCTTCTAATGGTATTCTAAATATGTAAAGATTATAGAAATATAAAACAGAGAAAGGAATAGTCTTTGAGAAATTCAGCTTCTGGAGATGAAGGAATAGAGAGGAAATAGCAAAACTAATGCTGAGAAAGGCAAATGTATACAAACTCTGAATATTTTGTGGAAAACAGTATTTTGCAAATAAGCTAATGGAGTACCCACACCCACAAGCATGGAGCATACAACATGTATAAGTTAAAAATGCCGATACATGTGTCTGTATCATCCACACTTCCTCATATGATAATGCATATTGTCAAAGCAAAACAGTATGACTTTGCAGCAAAAAAAGACTACAAGTCAAATATTCCTTCCTTTACAAATGAACAGTGCATACATCTATACAGGAAGCAAATAAAGATACAATGCGAATAAAAACAATTTGTTTAACTAATGAGCTACGAATAGACAATTTCTGTAAACTGCCTTAACTATTTACTAGTTTTCTGGCAGTATTTCATAACTTAAAAGTAAAGACAGATATCGAAAAATGAGAGTTTACTAATGTCTCACGATGAAGACAATTGCCGTGTAGATAAAAGAACTGAAAAAACAAATCTAATAATAGAAGATTTGAAGGGTATGATCTTAAGGTGCCTTTCATAAAAATGAAAAGTAGTGCAAATATTAAAGTTCAACATAAAATATTTTGAGTCCAAAGGTATGTTTACATATGTAGAAGAGTTAATCCGACAATGCTTTGTCAAAGAAAACTTTTCACAGAAATAGATAATTGTAGCAAAAGTGGGCTTAAAACTCAGAAACCTAAATAATAATATTACTCTAGCCCCAAAGGAACAATTTGCAGAAAATGAAGTTTTTATTGGGTTGGCTATGTGCTCCTCTGAAATGCTAAGCAAGTCAAATAACCTGGACTGACCCGTTTTGCAAACTTACGGTTCTTTTTCTATAGTCTCACATTTTCACAGACTTTTCTTCATTTCTAAGCAGTTTTTCAAAACTCTGAGTTCCTTTGTAATATGTGTGTGTATGTGTTTATGCATACATTTGTGTGCACATATATTTATATATGTATATAATGTATTATACACACACACACACACACACACACACACACACTTACACACATAAAACAATCATTAGTTGGTCTGAAAACCTCCCTAAGAGCGGGTGTGCTGACGACTACCCTATGCCAAGTGTTCCCTGCCTCTTATTCGCAGGAGGTTTCCAGAAGGCTGGAGATCACTTGGGAAGAGCAGAAGGAGGTTGCATCGAGGTAAAAAGCCCTGAAGGACGCAGACGGCCCCTGCTGCAGCCAGGAAGCCTGTGGACAACCGTGTCACCTGAGGCAAGGGTTCCTAGAAGCTCGAGATGGACGTGGAAACTGGAGCTACCAGATAAGATTTTGAGATTTAGCAGGGGATTATAATGTGCATTCTACATGCCAGGATTTCGTCTTCAAGTTCTGACACAGTGATCAAACTGTGAATCAGATATTTGAGTCTGAAACACAGTATAAGAAAGAATTTTATTGTACGAGCGAGTTGGCTGTTAAGTGTAACCTAAAGGCATACGCTTCTTGCGTTGTCCAAGGGAAGTTGATGCTTGTTATGAGATACCGTTTGCTTGGGTTTTGTCTTTAATAAAATGCATTTGGACACTAAAATTCAAGACCCTTAACATTTAGTAATTTAGATTGAAACTATTACAATTTTTTTTACTCTTTCTTTATAAAACATTTTATATGTTGTAAAATATTTGTTTACATTTATGGTTTGAAAAGCCCATAAAATACCATAGGAACTTTTAACCTTTATCTTTAAAACTTGATTATTCTACTAATGAACTAACATAAGTTCACGTAAGAGTGGAAACCACGATAATTGCATCTTTCAACCTTTGCATTTAATCTATATTAATCAGGGTAGATTGAGGAAGATGAACAGTTTCTATTTTTCCCAAAGGGAAATACTGATTGACAAATAAAAAAAAATACACATTGCATTCCCCAATTAACATCTAAATGTAACATTTGGCATTTTTTCCCAGATGGATTATTATCCATTAGGATTCATTTTAAGTTCAGTTCACTGATGATATGCATTTTGACAGGTCTTATTTCTGTCATAACTTATATTTACAATACAGCATCATTGAAGGAAAAGTGAGTATAAAACTAGGGTTTGCTTTGAGCTGAATATATTTCAGTAGCTAAACCCAGCAAAAATCATAAAACAACTATTTAGTAGATTGTAAAGAGTATATGAAATAAATGCCTAAAGCTTTTTATATACTCTAAATGGAATTTAAAAAAACAATGCACAACTTCTAGAACATTATGTGGGAACTGGGAACAATTAATTTAAGAACATTTCTGCATTCACATTTACAATCTAAACTATCTCACATTGGATACAAAATAATCACTAAATGCCAATTTATATTAATTACAATTGAGAAGGAAGATAAAATAAACATAAGTCTGCAGCGACACTCTGGTTCGTGTTAGGCAGGCCCTATACATCACTTACCCCCACAGCATCTTCACATACAAAAGATTTAGAAACAAAAATATTTACATAGAAATTATGATAAGAAGAGAGTGAATTCCATAAAGCTAAATCAAAAGTGCCATTCTAAAAAAGAAGGAGATGAGTGATAGCATCCTTGGCTATAATTTTTTTTGCGGGATTAAAGTATTTGGAGAGGAAATAAAAAGCTGTCTACTCTTAAGCTGAAGGTGGCCCATGGGGAAATGATAGAACGATCGTACATTCTTTCACTCACGTGATATGCAGGAAGAAGGCCACTTTATACCAACAACATTCACACAGCGAGCGACTGAAGCATGCTTGATAATACAGCAATGCATGCATGAGTCCCTAAATAAATGCACACATGATTGGCAAAGGTACTTAGAATACGGAAGTTAAGATAAGGTCTGGTCCCTTCTATTGTTTCTCATGTTCATCCATTTAACAAATATTGAGGAAACTTCTCCCATGTACCAGGCACTGTTCTAGGCACCAGGGATGCGTCAGTGGACAAAATGTATAAAGTCCTTACTCTCTTGGGACTTTAACTTGTCAATATATATTTACTATCTGCCTAGGTCGTGTTACTACTGAAATAATTGCCATTACGTGAATATTAACAATATATGTCAATACTGACAATGCTAGGAAAAAAGCTGGCAGTCAGCGTCACCATACTCAGTTTACAAGTGGGGCGCTACAGGGGGTATGAAATTGAGAAGTTATACATGCATTTCAAGCTGGGGGATAATTGCGAGATAATGATAAAAACAGACCGGCAGTACTAAGTACTGTTAAGAATACGCTGAAAAAGATACACAAAATTCAACACCCCATTCCGCTCCACTCCATCTTCTAATGCGTTCAAAGGTGAGAAGCAAAGTGATTGAGTCAGATTCTACTGACGGGAGATTATTTGGTTTGACCCTAAGAAGGATTTTCTGAATTACTGTAAACAATCTGTCGAAAGCGAAAACAGGAAATCCATTCTATTCCATATTCCAAAATATAATGAGAGTGGACTTTCAGCTCAAAAATCATGATTAAGATGCCTCTTTAGAAACTAGTAGGGGCACCTGGGTTGCTCAGTCGGTTAAGCCTTGGACTTGGGCTCAGGTCATGATCTCGAGGTTTGTGAGTTTGAGCCCGAGTCAGGATGCTTTGGATTCTGTCTCCCTCTCTCTCTGCGCCTCCCCTGCCTACACGCCGTGTCTCTCTCTCAAAAATAAACAAACATTAAAAATTAAAAAAAAAAAAGAAACCAGTAAAAATGAGACACAAATTATTGATCTCTTCTTCTAATTTTTTTGCCTCATGAAATTGATCCTCTGTAGAAACTGTAAGTCAGGGAACTGTCATCACAAGTTGGATCTGTGTCCACTTTAAACAATTCCATATCATGTCCTATACAGTGAGGGATAAAGGATAAACTTAGAGTTTACTGACATTTAAAATATGAACAACATATTTTTAAGAAGCATTTCCACTAAAATTTTTCTTTGCAACTGAAGATCACCAATTAGTTTCACAGAATTTAACCTGCCCTTAGCAGGTGGTGATCCACTAGAACACAGGCAGTAGCTTACTCCAGCTTTTGGATCAATCTAACAAAAATTCAGAGCATCGCTAGCTTTCCAAGGACAGAAAAACAATAGGGCCCTTTTACGTGTTCATGGAGAAACCTGGCTGGTCCAGCAGAAATGCGATCCTTTCTTTACTGTTTCTGTAGAATCATTTGCATTTCGAAGGACCTGGCTGTATATATGCTTTAGGTGAATTTAACTACCCCAGAGGCGTAATAAAAACGAATCAGGACTTCTAGTGAAAGACTATCACTGCATTAGCAACATTCATGCCCACTGTATATACTGAAATGTCTCTGGCAGTTTTGAAATACTATGGAAGAGTCACCAGGCTATGTAATAAAAAATATGAAGCCACAGAGTCGCAAACATTTATTTGCTGTTTGTGAAGCTTAAGTCACACATTCATTAACATTAAATATTATTTCATGGGTTACAGGGAATGGTAATTTCAAAGAAAACCCAACATATCTGAAAAGTTTCAAACAAATCAACAAATAAAAATATACAAAAAAAAACCACGTCTTTATACCTACATTACTGGTCATAAGATACTAATAAGTATAGGTAATTCAAGATAAAATTAACTATCACATATTATGCTAAACTATAATATAATTCAAGTGAAAACGAGGTATGAACTGAATAACAAAACACAACTTCTTAGAAGTCTGACAGTTCAAAAAAGGTAACTGAAAACTTGAGGTGTTTTTCTTTTCTTCTTATATCCCTTCACATTTTTGACTAAAAGTGAACAACATTTTTACTTGCCATGATTTTCAAAACACAAACACCAGTTAGTCATTACCCACCCCACCCCCCAATAACATACACCCTAGTAGTATACAGTACATCAGCCTTTCTACACAACTAAAGAGTCAAGCTAACACAGCAGGGATATACTTAATAAAACACATAGGAGAGTGATACATTGCATACAAATTTTCAAATTTTCAGACAGGGGGAGGGAATCATATTCCTTAAATGGTTTCAAAAAGAAAGGCCAAAATATATATTATTCTAAAATTTACAACCTATAATTTTCACCAAAATTGCAGGCATTCTCCGAATTGGCTAACCTGTTTTTATTTGCCATGGTACTTCCCCTTTTGAAAAAGAACGAATACACAGTAGGCATCTAAAAACAAATGAGTAAAACACAAGGAAAGTAATGTCATGGTGGAATATAAAATTTAAATGTTTGGAGAGTCTATTTAAAAAGCATAATGAAAACATTTTCTGTGAGTTAAAGGTTTCAGGGTTAGTGAAAAATAACAGTATTTCATTTCCGTTGGGTGATTCAACTTTGGACTTTTCAGTCACAAAATATGGGGAAGAATTTAAAAATCATAGTAAGTTACCTCTAAATTTAAGAACACATTTTCAGTTGTGGGGGAAGACTCTCTTACCATACTTTTGTACATTGATACTAATTTAACAGAAGATTTGTCTGAAAGAGGCGGAAGTCTTAGGCCTATATACTTTTACCCACATATTCAGAAACACAAAAACAAAATTAACTTTTATCCAGCATTTCCATCGGATCCCCCAAATTTGAAATCTGAAAAACGTTTACAGTTTCACAAAACTGTCATTGCTCATGTCAGACTTACCAGCCAGCATTAAAATGATGCGTGCATCTGATAACAGTTAAAGGCTTCAAGGCACAGTCCCAACACTCTTGTTTAGTATCAATTATTAGCAACATATGGCTTATCTAGAGTCTCACTTCTTCTCTTGGCTCAGGTTTATTTCTATGTAGGTCTCAGGACCTGAGCTCATCTAGGTCGCTGCTTCCTGCCTCCCTTATAGGGTCTTACTGGTAAATAAATCATTTTCAGACAGTTCACCATTGGGTTTGGCATTAATCATCTTTTTCCACTTAAAGAATGTTATTGGTCAGACAAGTAGACACGACCGTTTCTCTGCTTCAGACACAGAAATGCAGATTACAAGCCTTTGCTTCGAGGTAAATTAATATCAAACTAGAACACTTGAAATACTTAAAGTCCCCATTAATTAATTTCCACATGGAAATGGCAGCTTGTTATTAATTTGGAAATGTTATATCTGTACCAGAACAGTACAAAAGCCTAGTAAAGCAGTGTATGGGGGGGGCTCTATTATTTTTAGATATCTCAGTGTACAAAAGAGCCATTAAGTGATACAGAGATCATAAGGGGCTGAGAAAGGAAGGTTAAGAAGCAAAATAAATAAGTAAATAAATAAAACAAGCATTTAGAAGCAAGCAACACATGCGGAACAAGCAAGAGATTAGTTTACGTGAAGAAGAGGCAACTTACATGGCTGTTGAGAAGAGAGCTTCTGTGAGTGGACAGACCGTCAGACTTTTGCAGCGTCTCAATCGCCATTTCAATCTGATAATAGATGTCATTAAAAAAAGGGCTCAAGACAAGATAGTAATAAAAGGCTCACCAGAGAATTTTTGATAGACTCTTTAAAGTTCAATTTCTCCTTCAGTGGTGGCTAATGAATAGCTCTCAACTAAATGTGTGTTCCCCCCATCTTCCCGCCACCCCCAGAGAATAAATTAAAAAATATGCACACTAATAAGAAGCCCGATCACAAAAGTAAACCTTTTTTGAACATTCTGTAATTATAATCAGAATGGAGGCCTGAAGAGGAGGAACCCCAGGGGACTCTAGTTTCTAGTTAGGAGAAAACAGTCTTGACTTTCAGAGTTCAAGAGGTGGGAGAGTCACCACTCTCCAAACAGTATTTAATATTTGTTCTATTTTGTCATGAAAGAAAAACTATGCTGCAGACTTTGTGTTTAACATGCATCAGTGTTTTAATGCAAATGTACAAAGGCACCTTCATTAATGTTCAAAAGCTACTAAATCTATCCATTCCTCTCTTAACCCTGTATTAAAATTTGGACGTGGAGGGTCATTAGTATGAATAAACACTAAGATGCGATCATGGCCCCTATATTATATTTTAGAAAGTGGTGGTGAGGCAGAGCTATTAGAAATGACAGCAGAAATGGAACACAGAAGAGAAAATAATTCAGAGTCAACAAAGAAAAGGGACAGAAACAGTTTTATTCCCTGTAATCTTAGCACATCATGAGCAATCAGAACACCTTAATTAAGTAGCAGGTGCCAATAATAAATGAGATGTGCTCCTGATAACGTCATATTCAAAGGTCTCTATCGCCCAACTCCTAGCCCTAAAGCACATACTGCAAATTCAGGTTCTGAACACCCTACCCTGCATTTGGTTACTGGGCTATATCACCAATATTAACTGCAGTTATATTCTTTTAAAAAATCACATTATGTGAGAAAGAAAATTGATTGCATTACTTTTATTTCTACCATCTGATCAAATCAACAATTCAGTATAAGCGGCTATAAAAAAGGTTAGTGCTTTCCAATGTAAGCTTACTCACATTTCACAGTGGCTATGGAAATTAATGATGCTTTGAAATTCTAACATACCGTGCCCCCCCAAACCAACACAAAAACAATGGATGGCAATGTCCACAGCAAAGTCTTTTTTCCCCCATCAACTTTCCAATTTCCTTCTGGTGGAACTTTATCCACAGAATGTTCAGTCTCAATTATATCAACATTAAATCTAATTTTCTTCCAAACAACTTGGGAATTTAATAGCTTTAATTTTATTTTATGCTATTTCCACAAGTTACTGGTTCTTCCTCCTGAGAGTTAATAAAATAGAATACTGTTAGGTTAGAAATCACAGAAAACATATTTTTTAAGTAGATATAATACTTCATAAGATGCTGCAATACAATTTGTCTCACTGCTAATTTTTTTTTTTTTAGAACACAAAATGAAGTAGTCTGGCTTCCAAAGCATTCTCTCTGCAGGTGGAATGTTCTATTCGTAGAGTTTACCAGCATACTTGGAAATAAACTGAAGAAGGTGATATTGTACAAGTGAAGAAAGACACATTAGAGAAAGAGCAATGTAAATGTAATGAGTAACCAAACATTTTACTAAAGTGTTACACTGTAAAACTATAAAGGACCTCAGTATTGCATCTATTTTTTTTTTTTTTAGTATTGCATCTTTTAAAAGGGCCTCAATAAGTGTTCTTGTTTCCAAAGAGAACACACATAAAAAAACCAAACAAAACAAACAAAAGAAAACAGCTGAAAAGCCGAACCCTCATGTGACTTTAGATCACTTCTATGAAGAATCGGCTAAAAACTCCAATTTGCTAAAATGCCTACATTTCCTTTCAAGCTTGAGTGTGGAAAATTCAAGGTTGGATTTCAGTCTACTAAATACACAGAAAATGACCTGTGTCATGTGGTTTTGCACGTTTAGACGAAAGGTGAAAATGACAGAAATATAACTGCAATTACTGGTTGAGAAACCGATGTCTGCATTCGTTTTATTAATCAGCATTTAAATTTCTTTAGGACTGAAAGGGTTGGAGGTTGCTGTTTTTTATCAATAAAAAGTGGGCATGGTAAACTGGCTGAAGCCAGGTAAGCTTTAGGCTATGATTATATATGAGGTTATTTTTTTTGAAAAGTCGGTTCTCTGAACGAAGGTTCAAACAGTGCCCAGGTGTGGCTCTTACTGCATAGCCATCCAGAAAGTGACCCCCGCAGCGGACCTCGCCTGTCTGTAACTATCTAATACCAGGTGACCCGGGACTGTTGTCTCATAATCATATAAAAGGCGATGGCAACTCTTCTGAGATCAAATGGCGGGATGCTCCATCCGAGAAGAGACTAGAATCCAGCCTGGAAAGACAGGCCTTCAGAGCATTAAGTGAGATTAGTGGGGTGAGTGAGGACGAGAAACCCCCTGTGGGAAAGAGCAGGTAAGACACGGCTGTCCCACGCAGCCAGTCTGGGCGCATGACCTCCTAAAAAAATCTAGAAGACAAAGGGGGACGATTGAAGACCCCTCAGCTTCACCAGCTAAAACCAGACTCCCGTGAGAATGGGAATGTACTTTGGGAATGGTTCTCAGCCAAAGATAAGAAACTGGTCCAGTTCTACTAAAGGCTACTTTCAGAAGTGGGGGGGACTTTGCACCGTGTTTAGATACGCTGCTGACACAGCAGAGGGAGGGCAGGCCTCTGGTGCAGAAGAGCAAGAGAGGTCATCGAGAGGCTCTCCAGCCCTGGGAATCCTACGCGGTCTCAATGCCTCCAATACAGCCCAGGGACCAGCTGCCAGGCCAAGTCCCAAGAGTCCGAGCTCAGGTATGGGAGCTTCCTGCCCTCACATGCCGGGGTGCTTTCTGATCACACGCTAGCCGGGAGATCCAAAGACCTCTTTCCGTTGCATCATGTGACAAGGTACCACGGAGCGTGGTGTGAAAAATCAGACCTGCTTGGGGCGACTTGCCGAGACAGTAAAGCCTATTCCGAGAAATCAGACCTCACCAGAGAGTGCTCGGCAGGGACCTCTGAGTTCCGCTGGCCGTGAAGCTGAACTTGGGTGGAGAAAGGGGAAAGGGACACTAGCTGGTATTAAAAAAAAAATAAATAAATAATTATTCGGGATTGTGTCACCGGTAAGGAATTGGGGAATTAAAGTATATATGGGTGTAACGCTCAGCTTCCCCAACCAAACGTTGAATTCTCAGAAGACAGAATCCCAGGGAACAGTGTAAGTAGGGTTCCTTCACTTGGGCAAGCAGCTCTTCACAGGAAGTCTGGAGCGCTAGTTAGGGACTATACCCACTACTCTGCCTCTGGTATAGAAAGTGGCATGATCACAGCTGTGATAAAAAATATGACCACATGACAACGGGCAGACTTTACTTCCTGTGTGGTAGATTGAAGAAGGAAAAACAAGCGTGCACAATGTAAGGCAGGGGAAGCCCCTGTTATTTTGAGAGTACAGCAAGTGTGTACAACGTGAGGCCGGCCGGCCGCCCCAGAGAAGGAAATCTTTCCCAATTTCTCAGGAATTAGGATCAGAAATTCAGAAGAGGCCAGAGAGGTGCTGTATTTCATATCCAGGAGAGTTAAAAGACAAAAAACAAAAAACTCAGAGGAGCTCCTACAAAAATATAGCAAACCTTCTACGAAGGACACCTGTTACCTGATGGGGGGACAGATACACAGTATGATATACATGTGGCCTCGAGCCCCAGCTTCAAACTCTTTCCCAGCCACTACAGTGTCGCTGTTGCCTCGCTGGAATCAAGGGCAGGTGGAAAGTCTCCAACCAGCCAGGGATACGTGGCGGCTTGTGCCACAAGCAGCCAAGAATCAGTGTCCCCAAAAAGGACTTCAGAGGGAAGTCCCACCCACGCCTTTAGCAAAGGAGGGTGGGGGAGGGAAGAGGGGTCAGACGCTGTCTGGAGATGTTTTGTTTCTATCCTCTTTTCCCAAGCCCCAAGAAGGGATCAATACTGTACTTTTTTTTTTTCCTTAGGCAGCGAATATTTATAAAGATAAAATTGAAATCAGAAAAAAAAAACCATTTTATCCATTTTTTATAATTCCCCATTATTATTTATAATTGGTATTTATAGTTCCCCCTGATATTATATTATGGATGGGCCCTTACTATTTTATTAGAGCATATAATATTATTATTACAGGATGCTCCCAGCCTCAAGGGTCAAGGGATTTACAGAAGATGGGGATCTGGGAAGACAGAGGTCAACATTCACCTCACCTGCGGAAAGAATGGGCCGACTGGAGAGCAAGGAGGTGCAAAGAGCCTTTGTGAAACTGTGCTCTGGAGAGCGTGATGCTAACCCTCAGATGTTCCCCCTATAAAATCTTCAGTAAAATCTAGGTCACTCACAGATACTGTGGGTACGAGTCATCAAGGCTGGCTGGGGCACAGCATCTTCTCAGGGGTGGACGATAATATCAAAAAGGTAAACTGCAGTTTGAAACACAGCGAAATGAGAAGAGGTGTGGAGTTTTGCACAGGTTACATGGAGCTAGAGAGAGACCTCTGGACACGTGATTTATATACCCATCTATGTATGCACAAGCAGGGGCTCAAATAGAGTAGCACAGATGTGGACAATTAGGACTTCCTCTTAATGTAAGTATCAACCAGTCATTCCATTATATGCTAATAAGGCAGAAGGAAAAAGAATAATTCTATCACCTTATTCATTGTCTTTATAGGTCAAGGCATATTCTCTTGACTCTAAAATGGCTTTTTAATCTATTTTAAAGACGAAAGGTCAAGATTGATATATTCAACTGCCACTATAATTAAAATGGGTCTCTTGGTAGAAACTATTTCCTTCCTAGAACTGTGAAAGAAAATAATTTAAAAATAGAAGTAATATAATGCTTCATGGTTTATAAAACCTTTTTTACATTAATTCTCATCTGATCTTCACAGCAACTTTGTGAAATGGAAAAGGCAAGCAATATCGTCTCCTTTTCAAAG